TATATGAATATTTCGAGGGACTTGATCAAATGAATTGGTCAGCCCGAGGTAATGTATTGAATCAATATTTGAGGAACACTTCAATTGTAACGGCAGTAATAAAACAGCCTTGCCTGAAGGGTTACCGTTGTTAAATAACTTTATAATAATAATAATAATAATAATATCTCTTTAAAAAAATGGAAAAATAAGTCAGTGTTTGTATGCTTCTTGGTTAATTTAGTGCCAAATGGATTTAATTTAAGTTGCAGTAATTGGAAATGAGGTTGAAGGTGGCCACAGAGGAGGAGCAAGAAGAGTTTGGAGCGGCCCTTAAAGTGGAGTACATGTCTGAGGACGCGGATGCTTCTGATGGAGGTTGGTGCCACATGAAGTTAAATTGGAGGGCGGATGATCTCACCCAGTTTTTTCGTCAACCTCGTTCCCAGGCTCTTTGCTCTTGGGAAGCAAAGACCCTGGTCGGAGCTGGTCACGTGAACCCCCAGATTTTGGGGGTAAATTGAATTTGACCTCAGGGAGGGGTAGTAGAGGAGTCTGTTTGTTGCGTTTGGAAAACTGCAACTTTATGTGTTATAATTTCGGGTGATAAAAATGTAATTTGCAACAAGAGATTGTGAAAGGAACTGTTCTAAATTCGTACCGATCATGACAAGACTTCCTGCTGTACCGAATGTCATCAATAATAAGTGTTGCGTTACATTTCAAGCGAGAAGCTGGATCATATTTCACTTGCAAGGAAAACACTCTACACGCGCCTGGCTTGCGAAGTTTGGCACGTATCGCCGTAGAAACATACATATCTTCTACACAGACTGATCAATCAAACAGTATTAAACGAACGATATGGTTCTTTATAGTTGAAGTGTATCCTGTCCGATATTCAAAACAAAAGATTTATTTTATAACGGGATCCTTTGATTTCCCAAACATCGCCAACATGTGTAAACAATAGTGCTATTTTGACTGTAAAAGCACAGGATTAAAACCGTTATGGACTGGCTATAAAATTCATTTCATTTACATTACTGAAACTCAACGATCAAGAAAGATAATGTCGAAGTGTAGCTAGCTATCTGTTATCACACAAACGCCAAGACTCCTCCGTGCGTTTCCGTGCGTGCGGTACAACTTGAATATCTACGACGATATATGCACCAGACACTGGTATTTGTACTTTATATAAATTATTTCATATTTTGTGTATACAGTAATTTGCAACATGTATAATATTAGACCTTTCATTGACATTGGCATTGTCCATTGAGGGCTTTATTGAAGAATAATCCAGCTTCTTTAGACTTGTATAATGGATTAATGCCGCTGTGAGTTATCAATATTTAAATCAACTTTAATCTTTTTCGACTTTTTCGTATTCCGTAACCGACATTTTAGAAGTTTAGTCTGTTTTACCCAACAATACTGGAGGCAAACAACCTATCTATCAATGGAAACTTTAAAAGGTTTGTTACAGTAAAACTCATTAATATAAGCGAGACTTTGTGTGCATATACAGTTTATGAATTATGTATATCCTGATAAAACGTAGGACACTTTATACCAGATGTAATAAGAAATATTTGCTAAACCTTTTCTGCTGTCATTCCTTTTCTGCTGTCATTCCTTTGCATTTAAGGGGAGAGGGTAAATGGCGATAGAATTTATAGGATATGCTGTGCAATATTTTGGCTTCAACAAACAGGTACTCGTACAGATCGACAAAAAAGGAAATTCATGCAGTTGTGAATTGTCACGTATGTCAACTGTCGATTTCAAACAATTTTGTACGTTATATTTTGTCTTCCTGGTGTTTAATATAAACGATGATAACCTTTTAAAAAAATCTAGAGCAATATGTCTATAAACAGTTTTAGAATCAATAGAATGGACATTCAATGTGTATTTGGCTTGTGTCCAAATGTGTCACGTTTAAGACCGGCAAGGCGCTAATCCTACGACCTATATAAACAGTCGCTTTTGAGACATCTGTTTAACAAAATTTACACCGTGTCCATATCAGAACAATTCATTGGCATATTATAAGCATATTATAAATATCAGAGCCAGAACAGAAACGTACGCGTGAAATGAAACTACGCCCGAATCGGGGAACCCCGAGCAAATAAAAATATTTCAAAGCGTACAGTCATACGTTCTCGTTGCTTGATTTCCTGAATTTTCTGTTGCTATAAGAATCTGCATTTTAGCATGTTTGTATAATTTAAAGCAAACAGAAACCAATTTAGCAAGTAGTTTGAGGTGTATATGATAGACTCGAAGATGAATTAGATGATTGTATAGAACGGCCACTCCTTGCAATCGAAGTGCGAAGTGCAGAAGTGGAAACATGTAATATGAGACTTTTCCATCCCCCACTTGGGCTATCAATTTTCTATGGGTCACGTGACCAGCTCCGACCAAGGTCTTTGCTTCCCAAGAGCAAAGAGCCTGGGAACGAGGTTGTTTTTTCGTACGTTGGACATTCGGGCAAACGAGAGGAGGAAAGACCACGTGAAGGAACGCACGAAAAGAACGCATTCGGCACTTTTCAGAAAACGTGCGCCAAATGATGCACCTGCTTGGGCTGTAAAGCCAGTCGAAACAGCTGAAATTGCAGGCCCTGTCAACACAAACAGAACTCGTGGACGTGGAATTCGAACACGCGGAGGCGGCAGGGGCGGAGGTGCTGGAACAGGACCGAGATCTACTGCACGGAGAACGATCACCTACGCAGCACAAGAAGTGCTTAATTCTATAGCAAAATAAACATACTAGATAGCACAAACGGATAGAGCAAATTCAATTAACGTTGTCCTCTGAGTTGTCCTTTCTTAATTTATTGCATGGTTCTTAACATCTTAGCAATACACCATTTGCAAGCTTTGTCCCTCCTGTATTACATATTTATTTACGTCCATTGGGCCTTTTGCTATTCAAATTGGACTTTGAGGATAACCTTAATTGAGTTAGTTGTCTCTGACATTAATGGAATTAGACATTTAGTCTAGATTTAATGACGTGCTTTATATCTAAAATATCCTAGTTAGTTTGCATTCTATTATTTTATGTTTGATTTGATGCATTTATACTTGATATTTATGTTTCCTGCGTTCACGTTTCACTTGTCTCAGTCGCATAAATATGAATTCGGTATCATACCAGGCAGCTACTGAGACGTACAAGCTGCAAACTGCTTCTTGTATATGTATCCATATGATAATGAATGCTATTCACTTTTACTTTTACTGCAGGGTCACATCTTTAATGTCGCGCCCAAACGTTTTCGTGTCCACTTATAGGCAAGAGCCAACAACATGTGTATAGGCACAATTCGACAATCAAACTTTGGAATATTGTTTTATGATTTCAGAATTTACTGTAGCATGATTTACGTATTGATCTGAATCTCCGATCCCTGACAGGTGTTTGTGCTAATTTCAATTAGCGAACGCCTAAAAAACAAATATTTTTCCACGCCAATTAGCATTTTCTTATTTGCATTGACGTAAAAAATATGGAAGAAGAAAGAAAGCAACCTTGCGTTTCTCGCAATTCGGTCATTTATATATCTGACTATCAGATTTCTGAATCAAATGAAAAACGTAAGTAGCTAAGTTTTGTTTCTTGTATTACTCTTCGGACTTTGTTCCCAAACTCACTTTTGAATTTTTGGGTTGGTATTTGCCATAAGCTCAAAAGAAGAGAGTATTTTCTCTCCTGTCACATCACAGTTGATACAGAACTAGTGATGTGGTTTAAAGTTTTCTATTTAATATACGTTGATGAAGAATGAATACGAATACTCACTCTTAGTTAAAGCTGATTTTATTGGCGTATAATTGTTTGCTCCTGTGGTATAGTCGTCTATTTACAAAGGTATTTTAATATTAAGTTGAGAATAAATAAGAGAGGTATAGGACTGTTACAGTTTCCTTGTTTCTACAATTGTCAATATTTTCAGCAGCTTAGACCTAGAGATTTTATTCCGTTATTTTTGGCAACTTTGAGGTTACATGTGACCGTGATGTGACGCAATAGCTCTGTGGCAATAGCTACCATACGCAAGTCCAAAATTGACCAAACCTGCCAAAGCCATAATGGCATCTACTGGAATCTGTGCATGTGAATCGCTACAGCCTGCTTTTTTGACATTTGTTAAGGCTGACCGGACTCCCAAACATCGAGACATTTTACATCCTTGAACCAAGGCTTTCATCCTGCGCTCTCAAAGCCTTTCTCGTACCCAGAGTCCTTCTCACGCACGGTGCGACGAGGGGCTCTGGCCAAATCGATATCCGAACTGGCATCTGATTGGCTAGTTCTAATACCGGATATTGTTTTCTTACCATGTTTTTATGGTATCCGGTTATGGATTTGGCCAGAGCCCCTCGTCGCGCTGCGTTGACCGCGCGTAAGAAGGGCTCTGGGTACGAGAATGGCGCTCTCCATGCGAGAAGAGGAACCCTGAATAAAAACAGATGGATTCAAATTTTATCAAACTGCTGTCATCTTAAATTAAATTACCGATAGCAATGTCATCTTAATTAACTATACATGAAATCCTCATTTTTAGCGTGATTTTCTTGTGTTTTTTTTTATTTCTGTCACTAAAAATGCGCAATAATAACACATTGTCTGAAGTTAAATTACAGGTTTTTTTTATTAAATATAAAAAAACTGAACAAATTTGCTCTTCTTTAATTAGTGCTATTTCTTGCACTTAAACTTGCACGGTCCTCCAACCAGCGACTTAACGCTCCGTGTAGCGTTTTGTTTAGGAAAAAAAGGATATATATAAAAATAGTTATAAAAATGAATAGTTATACGACCTTTGCAATGCTAGCTCAATCCTCTGTCAACTGAGCTACGCGGTCTGTGTTAGGAAAATCCCCCCCGTTTACAAAATTTAAGTCGAGAAATTTTTTTTCATTCTACATTATTATAAGTACCCAAAGAAACTATGTAGATCAAAACTGGATACTAATAGCAGTTTTGCGAAATTGACAGCGAAATTCAGTTTTTCCTGTATATTTCCCTTTCCTGCATGAATATGAAATTGGATAGTTTAAAAGTGCATGGCACATCATATCATGCGACGCAAATGAGTAGCAAACATGATCAAAATTCTTCCAGCTTTCAGATAGCTACTGACAAATGAGTAGCTACATAATTAAGTTCTTGTATATGACCTACATTTACATTAATATTACTTATTCCAACCTCTCACCCCAGGGACAACAAGCTGGCTTCCATTGTATGATTAAGTTGAAGAAAATCAATTTAACTGGAAAATATTCAAAAAAATGTATAAATTCTTGCCATGTATAGTATTCCGACAGTATTTTGCTTCGGAATATTTGGTGTAGTTTATTCCGACGTATTCTGCGCAGATTACTACGAGTATTCCGGAAATATTCCGAGCGAATACCTCAGAATATCCCCGAATATTACTAATATTCCTAACAATATTCCGAGGTATAGAGGTCGGATTATTTGATTTTTCGCCCAGTGATGTGGAGCCTTTCCTCAGAGAAAATGATGTTTCTCCCATGTGTCGAATAAAGCTACTGGAATTGTTTGACGACCCTGTCAGTGCTCGGAACTTAGAACTTGAACTAGCTGCAATGATTGATGCAGGAAAGCACTTTGTTTCAGCGACATACTTGAAGGGGATGGGCCATCAGTGTTCAGTTGCTATGAGCGTTTGTCAGCTTTAGCTCGTGCAATTGCAATCGCAATTGAGTCGTATCCAAATACTGAGGCTAAAGCTCGAAAGCATGCTGCTGGAAATATGCCACTACACAGTCAGTTGGTTGCACAAGCAAAGGCTTGAATTTCCCCAGGATTCATGTTCTACCAGCACAAATTCAGTGTGGAATTTCATAACATAGTCCGTGCATTCAAAGCTGCTAGAGTATGCTGCACTGTGAAAGTTCATGAACTGCACCCAAATGCAGCCTCTGTCCAGAAACTGAAGCAATTCGGATTTTTTACTGATGTCTCAATTGCTCAGCTTGTTGACGAGCTTCCAATGTATTTGGCTATTGCAGATGGTGTAGTAATTGAAACAAGGGGAGGGAAAGTGAAGTGGTGGTCAGATCACGAGATCACTCTTCCTTGTTGATCAACCGCAGTTAAAAACATCATGTTACTTCAACATAGTTCTGCTCCAGCTGAGCGGGTTTTAGCTTGCTTCAGAATGCATTCAATAAACAACAAGACGCGGCACTGGAAGAAACTGTCGAAATCTCAGTCATGCTAAGATACAACAAGCGAGATGGCTGAAACATGCTCTGTAATAAGAGCCACAGAGCGCACAGTCTGTTTTTAGGCATTGATTCTTGTGTTGTATTACACTCCTTTTAACAGGTTAAAAACTCAGTAGTCATAAATATTGAACAATCACAATTATGTTGAGAAATTAGCAACTTCTTGTAGTAAGTCTATAAAAACAAACATTAAAATGTGGAGCAATTTTTGAGCAACTTTTTGGATTTTTAAGCAACTTTTGAGCAACTTCAGTCAAATTTTCAGCAACTTTTAAGAAAAATTCGAACATCTGGTGGATAGCCATAATGCCAAGCAATTAACATATTAGCCGATTCGTTGGGAGGATGCGGAAGTATCAATACAACGTTAAACATGGTTTCATAAAGGAAAAAGTTTGGATAAATATGAATTTGACATTTCTAAACGTCGTATTTTCGGTATTTAATTAAACAACAGATATCAAGATGTTCGTCTATTTTACATTTCTTGTTTCAGACTTCAAATTATTTTCTGTTAAGACTGGTTCATTGCTATGCCAACAGACGAGTACGTAAACTTCTTTTCAAATAGCAATTTTTTTTCGTATATACCTTGAAAAAGCAAGAAGACCAATGGGGCTCTACTTCTTTTCACTGCATTACTTTTCTTGGACTGGACCGCCGCCTCATGTTCGAATAACTGAATTTGCGCAATATATTCGTTATTTTCTCCTTTGACATTTGTTTAAATTTTCTCCCATGTATTCCACCGCAAAATCTTTGATCATATACTAAAACTTATCTTAAAATATTTTTCCGTCATGCTAAAATGTTTTATCGGGAGGGGAACGACGTATTTGCGTTTTCTGGTGATCTCATGGCATCAAAGAATTGTTTGTTATTGTTGTTGAAAGATGCGAGTTCGTCTTAATCACTTACCTTTATACAGCAAGCGAAATGGCATTACGGCATGACGAACGTCTGTGCAAGAATCTTCTTGCAATTTGACAGAAATAGGAAACGAGAACATGAAGAGACATTGTGCTGTCGTGAGTGCTTTCCTAATAAAATTTATCATTTTGTCAACGTACTGAAGAGTTAGCCAAGTGCTTCTCTATAGAGTGAGAAACTATGGTGACACTTGCATTAACGTTTGTTAATTATTGAACATCTGGCGGGTTTTTTTGCAAAACAATGAAATAATAATTCACTCAAAGTAATTTTAACTACAGCTATAATTATTAATTTTAGCCTCCTCCAGCATCCATGCATGTCCAATACTGTCTCATCTCAAAGGTTTTGACAATTCGTCACATTTTTCCAAATGACAACTCCTCACGATTGTGAATTAAATGAACGCAACGAATTCTCACGAGTTGTGAACTCTATCATTTTGGCATGACGAAGAGAAATAGACGACGAGATTACAGAAGAGCATGAAGGGCAAAAAGAACATAAACAAACAGAGGTTTTGAACCCGCGACCTTCGAGTCACTAGATCGGCGTTCTATCAACTGAGCTATACATGGTCAGACGGATTTAAGACTGGAAATTATGAATGATATACTAAATGTTATAAATATACTCGATCGATTATACTAATTCAGTATCGAACAATACTAGTTCTTCAAGTATATATCAAATGATTGCTTAACTGATGATAAGTTGCATGGATAGTCTGTTGTAATTATTGGTTGTGATCACTGAAGTCTTTACAAATGTGTTTTTTTATGTTTTCTTTGCCTCTCAGTTTGTTAAATGCTGTTCTCCGTTTCTCTCGGTGTATTGTTGAAAACTTAACGTTCGCTTCGCAATACAATGCTATATCCGACAAGGTATAAATCATCAAGGAAGCAAAAAGATTACTACTTTTTAGCAGAAACACAACTTGGTGCAAAAACAATAAAATAACTCTTCGACGTTACATTGGAAAGCTTTTATATAGTGCCGGAAAACGTGAGTTAGTAGGCTAATATCTACTGTTAAAGCTCGCACCAGAGTATGAAGGTTTATCAGCATTTAACAAACACCGAGAATATATATATATATATATATATATATATATATATATATATATATATATATATATATATATATATATATATATATATATGAAAGCGTTATGGTTGCCATGCCTGGTTTCAATGTGAATGGTGTTTTTTAAAAATAAAACAAGAACTTCCTCAGGCATAAAAAAGATATAATGACTATAACCCAGACGTTTCGCCGGTTAAGGCTTCTTCAGTGGGTGAAAAATTTTACAACAAT